TAATCTAAAACATTCTGGTCTCGGGTCCCCAGAAGTGCCCTCACACTTGTCGGACCACGTGTCCCTGCTCGGGGCTTAGAAAATAGTCACCACGTGGACGCCCGACAGCCGGCGTCCAGCAGCCCAGGGCCGCCGCCGCGGGGGTGGAAGGAGGACCGATGCTGGAGCCCACGGATCTGGGGCCGGCCGGCGCCGCCGCTTGCCCTCTGCAGCCTTTACTCTCCCGAAGCCTCGGTTCCGTCACCATCAGCTTCCCTGTAAGTCGGGGCCGTCGAAGAGCCTGGCTCACAGACGCTTAACGTCTTCCAGATGTTTCCGTCTGTGCTGTCATATTGTTTGGATTTGGGTCAGGTCTGGCGTGCTGCTATTTTAAGACGTGGAGCAGGACACGGGGCTCGGGGTGCCACTGCCACCAGCTGCGAGGACGGCACCCGAAATAGCCGGACGCACGTAAAGGGCCCTTCTTCGTGTCCGTGACGGCCTCCCGGGCCCTCCTGGCTCCTCAGGGTCCTGATCCACTCCCGGGGCTGCTCCGGCCCCGGCCGCTGCGGCTCCCGCTGCCCCTGCTCTCGCCACCCCCTGCCCCGGGGCCCCGCCTGGGGCCCTCTCCCGTCCCCCGTGACACCCAGGGTCCGCTCTGAAGCAGCCCAGTGTCGCCCCACGCCGCGTCCCGCCGACCCGCTGCCGCCCTGTCTGGTCCCTGGGCCTTTCCCGGCCTCCGTGTCCTCTGAGAGAACCAGGGGGGGCTCCTATACGGTTCCCCCATAGGAGGCTTGTCATCTCTCGGGGTTTGCCCCTCCGGCCCCACAGCCTTCCCGGCTCCCGGTGGGGCCGCCAGCCCAACCCCAGCCCCTACCCTCCATGGTGTGGCCACACCCGGTTCCCGACCCTCCTTCCCCGCCCACTCGCCCGCCTCCCCCCCACCCTGCACCTGCACACATGCTCTTCCCTCTCTGCCCGCGTCTCCAAAGGCGTCTCCTTCTGCACGGAGGCCCCGCCGCCCGCTGCTGTGAGCTCAAGGACGACCCCAGAGGTCCCAGGTTGCACCTCGACTCCCCCAACGTGGCCCGTGTCTAGAGAGAGGCCCTTCCCGGAGGTAGTTAGGGTTGAATGAGGTTCTAGGTAGGACTCTACCCGACAGCATTAGTGTCCTTGTAAGAAGGGACGCTCCGGAGCTGCTTCTCCCTCCCTTTGGCGCCCGCCGCCACCCAGGCCACACGGGGCCCCTGCGGAAGGCGGCCGAGACCCGAGCTCTCACCAAGCAAACGACCCGTGGCCCTGCTCTTGCACTTCCAGCCTCTCAGAGGGAAGCGTGAGAAACCCAAGCTCCGTGGCCTGAGCCGGCCGTCTAGGGACCCTCACGCAGCCCGCGGACCGGCGGTGCCCCCGCGCTCCCCTCTCGCGCCGACCCACTCGCTGCCCCCACGTGTGCCCGCTTTGCTCCTCCGGTGAGCGCAGTGCGAGGGGCTGGGTCGCCCGAGGGCCCTGCACACAGCCGGCGCTCAAGACGTGCTTCGTGGGTCACGAGTCGGGCGCTGACGGCGGGTCCTGAGGGGACACAAGCCCCTCGGCCGTGGGACACCTCCGGTGGCGCAGTCGCCTCCTCCAACACCTGCTTCTCTGTGCCCGGTCTTGGCTGCGTCCCCTTGGCCTGGGGGAGGGCGCTGGGAGGGGCAAGTGCACAGGAGACGTCACACAGGGCAGCCCAGTGGCCTCTGGCGCCGCCTTCAGCCGGGGCCATGACCCCCGGGTCCCGGGATCGAGTCCTGCGTCGGGCTCCCTGCACGGAGCTGCTTCTCCCTCTGCCTGGGTCTCTGCCTCTCTCTCTGTGTCTCTCATGAATAAATAAATAAAATCTTTTTTAAGAAAAGAAGAGTTCAGACTGACATCACGGCGTCCCCAACCCCCGGGGCTACCTACCAGGGACACAGGTGCCTGGAATGCACCTACACGGCCGCTGAAATATCCGTCACTACGTCCAGGTTTTATGCTCAAGCTGAAAGCATCCCCGTGCGTCCCAGCAGCGTCCACACTGTCCAGTGGCCGCACTGCGCCAGCCGCTCACCACCCCCGGCACCTCGCACCCAGTCCTGGTCGGACTCCTCTCCGCTTCATAGGTCAGCAACTCGAGACTTAGAGAGGACGGTAGGTAACGTGCCCGAGGCCGCACGCCCGGTGCCCGAGACCGAGCCACAGGCAGGCTGCTCCTGCGGGTCGTGCGGCCAGCGGGGCAGATACCACACGCAGGACCCCGAGCCACTGAGCATGGGGACACGGGAGGACGCTGCCTGCTGTATCCCCGACAAGTCGTCGGAGGGAGGAGAAGACGTGTGGGTCATGAGCTGCACGTGCTGCAAATGCCTGGGAGGGAACAGGAATCGGGTGTTTCAGAAGCTGGGGTGGGGCGAGGGCTGCCCCCGGCCTCAGGATGGACATCGAAGGAGACGCAGGAGCCGGGCGCAAACATGGGAAGATGCTCATCCAGCGGGGAGAGGCACTGGGGGGCTCAGTACCCAGGGTCAAGGCCTGGGGGACCCCAAGGAACAGGACCTCTGGGAGCAGGAGGCTGAGTTGGGGCACAACCTGGTTTACCCCGATGTCCATGTGCCAGGATGGGGCACGGGGAGGGGCCTGGGGGCAGGGACTCCACCAGGGCACAGGGAGGTGCGTCAGGGCCTGGGGGGCAGTGGCCCGGCTTGCGGAGGTCACGGAGGTCACACTGGGGGAGGGGCCCCGGCATGGGAGGGGCCCCGGCATGGCTGGACCTGGACTGGGTGGTCTGGGGACCCCACAGAGCCGGGCGCTGGGCTGGAGCGGGGCCCTCGAGCGATGTGGGTGCAGGTGGGAGTGCAGGTGGGGGTGCGGGTGCAGGTGCAGGCCACCTGGGCCGGGGCACTGCTGCTGGCCTGGGGGGTCAGCCCGCAGTTCACTGGGCCCCATTCGGGGCGCTGGTGGGGGACCCGCCCTGGACCCACAGAGGGAGCCCCCCCCCGCCCGGGCCCCCCCAGGACAGCCGCCCCTCCCTGCAGCCCCCAGGTGGCCGGAGCCTAGATGGGAAGGCCCTGAGGAGGGTCCGGGAAGCCGCGGGCGGGCGGGGCGGGGGCGGCGCGTTCCCACAGTCCGGGCGGCGACACGCGGCGCTCGCACATTCCTGGGCTGCCGCAGGCCTGGCCGCCAGTCAAGGAAGCTTCCGACTGGGCCCGTCCCTGGGGGCCGCCGGGCGCGGGCACTGCACAAGCCGCAAGCCAGCCTGTCTCACCGCATGTGCGACCACGGGTCGGACCGGGCTGACGGAGCAGCAGGGCCAGGGTCACGTTCGGGCACCCCCCCTCCCCCGTCCATTCTGGAAAAGACCAAGAGGAAACGTAGTGGCAGGCCCTGGGGCGGGGGGAGGCGGGCTCTGGCCAGGTTCAGGGGCGCTGCCCACCATGTCCTCCCTCCAGCTCCGACCTGACCCGTAGGGGGGCTGCTACCCTCTGCTCAGAATCACCTCCCTGGGGGGTCTGGGGGGCCTGGGGGTTAGGGCCTGCCTTTGGGTGGGGTCATGACCCCAGGGCCTGGGATGGAGCCTCGTGTGCCCTGCTCAGCGGCGACCCTGCTGCTCCCTCTGCCTGTGCTCTCTCTCTGCCAAATAAATAATCTAGGGGCGCTCGGGGGGCTCAGGGCCCAGGGCATGACCCCAGGGTCCCGGGATCGAGTCCCACATCGGGGTCCCTGCATGGAGCCTGTTTCTCGCTCTGCCTGGGTCTCTGCCTCTCTCTGTCTCTCATGAATAAATAATACATAAATAAAATATTTAAAAAAAGAAACAAGAATCCCCTCCCACAATTCCCTGGTTATTGATGGACGGGGAAGCCTGGGTGAGCGCACCCCAGCCACCGGGTAAGAGATGCAAACACAGACAAGTTGAAAACGGCTCAAAAATGGGTCCTCAGAGCCTGGGGGGACGTTGGCTTCCCCGGGGTGGTGGGCATCCCCTGGGGGGACATGGGCTTCCTTCCGCGTGGACGCCCCACAACTCCCCCAGTTCCGTCCCCTGTAGGACGGCGCCTAACGGCCCAGGTCGCGGAGCCACTGAGGCTGGAGAGCACCGGGAGCTTCCCCGCGCCCAGAAGCCCCCACAGGAGCTACCCAGGCCCTAGGGGACAGGAATGTTCTGGAAATTTCACTGTTCTGTTGCCTTTAATTCCGACAACTGCCCGGTGAGGCCGGTGCTGCCGCCGCCCCTGGTTTACACCTAAAGAAACAGGGACTTAAAGAGCTGAAGTCACCTGCCTGGGGTCACGTAGCTGCATGTGCCTGACCCCAGGTTCCTCGGAGCAGCCGCCGGGGCCTGTTCCCTGGGTCTCGGTGCAGGCGCAGGTCAGTCGAGATTCCAGGTGCACAGCTGCTCCCTCCTCCTCCCAGAGGCGCGGCCCGGGCTGCCCCCAACCTCCTCCCAGCGGGATCACGCTGGATCCTCAGAGTCGCTGAGGATCCGCAGTGGCTCTAACTTCGACAGAACCCAGTAGGTGCTTCAACCCCACCTTTGTTCTGTGAAATAACCGACGCCCGATAGTCTCGACCCTCACAATGTGACGGAAGGGGAAGAGGCCCACCCCGAAGACGCACGGGGTCCTGAGCGCATTCAAGGTGACTCGCGCCTGAGTCGGCGGCCGCGGCGAGCCCCCTGCGGGTCAGCACCCAGCAGGGCGCAGACGGAGATGGGAGGGCCCCGGGGCAGGGGGAGCCTGCGACGGAGACTACACCCCGGGAGGCCACGACCCCCACTGGGGGCTCCCAACCAGGTCAGGTGGAGGGAGACTGCTGCGTCGTAGCATGATGAGACGGGCCGTCCAGACCGGCTGCCAGTTAGGGCCAGAAAGGGCGCCCCGAAGAGGTGACCGCCGTCAAGGATGACGAGTGAGCGGTTCTGCAGACGGAGGCCCCTGGGAAGGCCGCTCCGGGCAGAGGACACACGACAGGACACGGAAAATACGAGCCACGCATAAAAACGCTGATCCACTGTACAACATCGAAATGTTAAATGCTCGTAAAAAATTACATCCTGCAGAAAAACAAACAGGCAAACCCCAGACCAGGAGAAGGTAGTCTCGGAACATAAATCTGACAAAGGGCTTATCTGCACCATATATAAAGAACCCCGGCCACTCAATAATAAAAAACTCAAACACCCCAATTGTTTTGAACGGCCGCCGACTGCCCAGACACTTCAGGAAGGACGCACCAAGGACCACAGAGACCCGCGTGAGAGCCCCACAGCAGCAGGCACGGGGAGACGCAAATGCAAACTACAAGGAGGTCGTCCCTCGCCTCCGGAAGGGTCGGAAAGCTGGCGCCCTGTGGGCGTGGGCGTGGGCGTGGGTGTGGGTGTGGGTGTGGGTGTGAGCCGCCCTCGCCTGCCACGCAGCCGGGCCGAGCCCAAGAGCCCAAGCTGCCCGCGCCCCGCAGCCCATCCGCTCCCGCGGGTTCCCTGGAGAGAAACCAAAACGCAGGTTTCCAGAGTCTCCTCCGTGAAGGGCTCCCGCAGCTCTTTCCACTCTGGGCCCGAATTGCAGCAACCCGGAGGGTCCTCACGGGCGCCTGGGGCTCCGCCGTCTCACGCCTGCCTTCGGCTCAGGTCACCATCCGGGTCCTGGGATCCAGCCCCACCTGGGGCGCCCTGCTCCGCGGGGTCTGCTGCTCCCCCTGCTTGTGCTCACGGGCTCGCTCTCTGTGTCAAACAAATAAATAAAATCCTTTAAAAACCAGCAAGAGGGATCCCCGGGTGGCGCAGCGGTTTAGCGCCTGCCTTTGGCCCAGGGCGTGATCCTGGAGTCCCGGGATCGAGTCCCGCGTCGGGCTCCCTGCATGGAGCCTGCTTCTCCCTCTGCCTGTGTCTCTGCCTCTCTCTCTATCATAAATCAATAAAATAAAATCTTAAAAAAAATAAATACAAAAAATAAATAAAAAATGAAAACCAGCAAGATCCCAGAGGAGAGAGGCCGCACCATGTTCCCACAATGGAGCACTTCTGCTTGACAAAAGCGGTGACCTCTGGAGACACACAGCCACGTGGAAGGCTCCGGAAACAGCGTCACGGAAAAGACCGACGCGAGCAGAGCGTCCTGCACGACTGCGTTTATACGGAATTCTGGAACAGTCAGAACTGCCCAGTGTCCGCAGAAGTCGCATCGCCGCCGCCGAGGGAGGCGGCAATTCATCAGGCAGGACCCGAGCCAACGTTCGGGCACAGACTCGCTCGGGGCCTTGTGCCCTGGCCAGTACCGCCCAGCTGAGGCCTCAGCGTGTCGCTGCTCCCAGGTGATAAGAAGAACCAGAGGCTCCACCCTAAAGGCCTGCACGTCCTTCACTCGGCGCCCGAGGTGACCCGGGGCACAGGACCGCCGCCCGGGGAGGCCCGGAGCAGCTGGCGTAGCACAGGGGCCCCACAGGGTAAACCGTGTTTCTCTTATTTTCCTTGAGCAAAACCAACACAGCATTGTTTGCTTTGCCTCCCACTGAGGTTACTGGCCCCTGGCCGCTGGGCAGAGTCTGCGCTGGGGGCCGCGGGGCACGCAGGTCACCGGCCGGTCATCCCCACTGCCCCCCCAGTCATCCCCACCACAACCCTAGTCATCCCCACTGCCCCCCCCCCGGTCATCCCCACTGCCCCCCCCGGGTCATCCCCACCACCTCCCCAATCATCCCCACTGCCCCTAGTCATCCCCAGTACCCCTCTAGTCATCCCCAGCACCCCCAGTCATCCCCACCACCTCCCCAGTCATCCCCACTGCCCCCCCCCCGTCATCCCCACGGCCCGGCTCTCCCTTCCTCCCCGCCCGGCTCTCCCTCCCCATCTGCAGGGATCCAGTGAGGGAAGCTCCATGTCCCAGGCGCCCAGCTCCGTTCTCTCGGCTCCGTGCTCCCTAAGCGTCCAGCCCCTCAGGCTTCAGCTCCTACAGAGATGCGCACCAGCCAGCGGGCGGTCGGGGACCCCGGGTCCCGCGGTTCGACAGTAACCGAAGCCCAGGGATGGCTAAGGAGTGCGCGTTGGGCTTGGACCCTCGTCCTGCCGCCCCTTAACCTGCTGCGTGATGGTGGGAACGTGACTCAGTGCTCGGGCCCCAGGCCCTTACTCACGGGCGAGTGGAGTCGGTTCCTGCCCCGGGGGTCACAGCGACCCAATGAGATCGTCTGTCAGAGTCAGCACATTCAAATAAATAAATAAATAAATAATAAATAAATAAATAAATAAATAAATAAATAATAAAAACACTAAAACCAGGGGCTAAAGAGCAACTTCTCTGGCCGGGCCTGCGGCACACTCGGGGATGAAGGACCGTCCCCTCCTGCGCTGTCCTGGGGGCAGCAGTCGCCCGCTGCGCTCACCACGCACACTAAGGGCAGATGATGCGACGACGGACAAGCTGGGATTTCAAGCTGTAGGTATTTGACGACCTTCCGCGGCCCTCGGTGCCTCGGTTGGCCCGCGCAGCCCGATGCACACGCGCTTCATCCCAAACCATCAGGAAACTTGGAGCAGCGGGGAGCTCGTGAAGCCTGAAGGGCCGGGCCGGGGGGCACCGGAGCCCCGACAGGGAGGGGGCGCCTGGCTCTCACCTGCACTCCGGACCTGCCCAAGCCCCCAGCGTCGCCCCCGCTCCGCCCCTTCCCCTCCCGCGGCCTGCACCCACCGACCCCGCCCGGCCCGCCCTCCTGGTGCCCGTGACGTGACGCTGCTCCTCTGGGTGACTGTGCGCTCCTGGGGTGCAGACCCCGGGCCTTCTTCCCCCCGAGGCGCCCTCTGTGCCCGGGCCCTGCTCATCACACAGCGGTGCAGAGGACGGTTGTTTTGAGCAGAACCCTCAGCCTCTACTTCAGGGGTCCTTAGGCTTCCAGGATAGGCCGCAGGTGGAACGTCTGGGCCCCGCACCCCGGAACCCATAGACGGGACCCTCTGATCCCAGTGCGATGGTCCTTGAGGGGCTCCTAGGTCAGGGAGGTCACGCGGGGGGAGCCCCAGGAGGGATTAGCACCCTTATGGGAACTCTCCCTTGGCTGGGGACACGGCAAGGACAGCGGCCTTCCAAGCCTGCGCCCCCCGTCTATGGGCACCCGGGCCCGGCTTCCCAGCCCTGTCGCGGGAGATGAAGGTCCGTGGGTTCAGCCGCCGCGTCCGTGGGTCCGTGGTATTTCGTTCTGGCAGCCCAACCCCTAGGAAAAGGGGAAAAGCAGCTTTTGACATCAGCTTTGTCACATCTAGTCAGTGAAAAACAGAAGCAAACCCAGGCGGGCCCGACGGGACATTACCAGGCACCTTGCGCCTTCCGCGGCGACAGCGAGGCCGGGGCGAGACGGAGCCACGCCCTGCTGGAAAGAGGACCTGGTCCCTGGGGCGAGAAACGGGCCAGGAGAGGAGCAGCAGATCCCAGACGCGGTGACTGGACTCACGGGGGTGACGCGGGTGGAGCAAATGGGGAAACAGAGGCAAGACCAGGCGGGGTGGGCGCAGAAGGGGACAGGTCGGGAGGGGCCAGATGGGAGCAGGGACGGGGCGGCGGGGGCGGGAGGGGGCGCCGGGCCTAGAGAGGGGCCGGCCTGGTGCCGCGGCTGGTGGGGGTCCGGTGACACGACGGGCAGGCCCCCCCTCGGCGGATCCGGATGGGCAGGGAGCTGGGCCGCCCGAGGCCTGGCTGGAGGCTGTCGCCGCCCGCCCGAGCCCCCGCCTCAGGCCCCGCCCTTGCAGGGAGAGGGGGGACAGCTGGGCGAGCAGTGTGGCCTCCCAAGTGGCCGTGGGAAGGGGCTGGCTTGTCTGCTCCCCCGCCTGCTCTTCCGCCTGCTGTGAAATCCGCCTCAGCTGGACGTGCCCAGGAGACCCGTCCCCATCTGTTCCGGGCACGGTTGGCAGGAAGGCCTCCGATCCAAGAGGTCGCTTGGCCGTCCGCGCGACAGAGGCCGCCTCGGTGGGGGCAGGGACGGAGCCGCTGCAAAGGCTCGCTCGGCCTGGGAACAGCTGCCCCGCCGGCCCAGGAGGCTCCCGGCCGCTCCCACCTCACCCGGCCGGGCCGCCTGCAGTGACGTCATTGGCCCCGTCGGAAGGACATCTGTTCTGGACGACAGGCCCGGGGTGCGGCCGGGGCGAAGCCCACCGCAGTTCAGGGCTCGGGTGACCCGAGGCCAAGAGCCTGCAAAGGACCCGTCCAGACGTGTCCTAACTCGACCAGGAAGCGTCCTCAGCCAAGACCCCGGGCGGGCGGTTGGGCGGGCCTCCAGCTGGGCCCCGTGTGCCGGTCCGGTGCCCCCCCCCCCCCCCGCCTCTGCAGCAGCCCTGAGCCCTGGGCGGGGGCCGGGGGGGCACCGCTGAGCCAACAGCTGTGCACAGTCAGCAGCTCCCTCCCAAAGCAGGCCTGACACCAAAGTTCCCCTCCCGGGGATTCTGTGGGGTGATGCCCCCACCCCGTGAGGTCGGAGGGAAACAGGGACGAGGGGGAGACGCAGGATGCGACTGAGGCAGCTTCCCTCCGGGCAACAGGCGTGTGCCTGCTTGTAGCACGTGTGTCCCCGAGGCCTCCTCCTCCCCAGGCCGGGCCGTAGCCACCCAGCACAGACGCGGTGCCTCAAGGTGACGGGACGTCCTGTGCGGCAGCTGCGGAGCTGAAATGGGGCTCACTGGGCTGTCCTGGAAGCTCCGGGACACAGTCCATTCGCTTGCCTTCCCCGGCTTCTGGAGGCGCCCGCGCTCCTGGGCCTGTGGTCCCTTCCTGCGTCCCCGGAGCCGCTGGGCCCGGGCACGTCTTTGTCACGCCACGTCACCCGGACGCCGACCCCCTTGCCTCTTTCTTCCCCAGCAAGCGGCCCCCTGGAAAAGCCGAGGCCGGTTCCCCTTCTCGCTGTCAGCTGACGAAGACCCTTAATCCCACCTGCCACCTGCGGACAGCCCCCCGCAGGCCCACGGGGTGCAGGACTAGGCTGTGAGGGTCCTTGAGGGACCGTTCCCACCTTCCACAGGTGCCGTCCCGTGTCTTCCTGGAACGAAGGGCTCAGGGGTTTATGCATTTAATCAGGGTTGGCCCCGTGCGCTCTTTAAAGCCAGAGGCGAGACCCTGGCTGTCCCTGAGCTGCCCCTATGACCCCACATCCTGCTGGCACAGCAGCCGACTTTGCCAAGGACAACCAAACCCTCCAAAATCAGGGAAATCAGGGGACAGATGACCCAGGATGGCCACTGCCTCCCAGGCAGACAGATTGAGCCCCGATCCCAAGCACCAAGCAGCTGGCCGTGGCACCTAGGCCTTTCCGAGCCTCCGGGTCCCCATCGGCACCTGGTGCCGAGGCCTTGCAGAGTAGGCTCCCTGCTGCCTCGTTTCCATACTTTCATCCGGCAAAGGGCCCAGGAAGGAGACACCAAAGCCACCAGAATGGTTTTTCTCCAGAGCTCCCGATGCATTAGGATGTCCCGAAGCCCCTTTCTCACCTGCTGTAAGTGGTTCGCGTGTGTGGGGGTGGCCGGGAGGGTTTGCACTTCCTCGTCTCTCTCTCCCGCAGAGCTGTGAACACATCACGAGGGGCAGCAAGGCCCCGGGGAAGTGCTTTGCAATTCTTCCGTACCCCGGAGCAGGCCTTTGCTGAGCTGAGCTGAGCTGAGCTGAGCGGCCTCCTCTCCCACCCCCTCCCTTGGTTGCAAAGACCCTCAGAGGACCCAGGGCCACCCCACGCGTGATGGCTCCTCTCTGCGTCCCCGTGCCTCCCAGGTTGGCTCGAGCTTCAGCCCCTGGTGGGATCACCCACGGGACACGGGCTGCTTCTCCCTGCATCCCCGCCCCCAGCTCCTGCACCGGGAGCTCCACCCGGGCGGGAGCGGAGGGGCCCGGAGGGGCCGGGAGGGGCCGGTGCACGATGTGCGGGTGCGGGCGGCCGCCCCTGGTCGCGGGGCTCGGCGCGTGCCTCCGCCCGCCCTTTCCCACACCCTGCGCCTCCGCGACCGGGGCTCCCCCCTCGTCAGAGCTCCCAGGCTCAGCAGGCAGGCTGCCATAATTCTCAAGAATAAAGAAAACATTTTAGGGTTTGACAAGCCCAACATTTGCATGTCTGTTTTCAGAGAAATACCCATCTGGGGGGATTAAGCCTTTTTTTTTCCCCTCCCTCCCTTTCCAATCCCAAGTATGAAAACATTCTTGACATAGTTGCCTGAAAAAGGATTTCTAAAGAGAAAAATACCTCCCATACCCTGTGATTTCAGTGACTTGGTGTGAAAAGCACCCGAAAGAAAGGGAATGAGGTGGAGAACAGAAAAGAAAAAAAGAAAATCTCTTTAGGCAAACAGCTTGTTAAGCTTCCAGCAGGCGATGCATTGGGCTTCCTCTCCGGGTCTCAGGAGTCACGCGTGTTGGCGCGGACTCATCCCCAGACGCTGGCCTCCCCGAGGAGCAGGGCCTGTGCTCCCGTGGGCCCAGGGCCGGGCGGGCGGCCGGGCGGGCGGCCGGGCGGGGGCAGGAATCAGGCCTGCAGCCCGGCTACTGAGCAGCCCCGAGCCGAGCCGCAGGGAGCCCTTCGGGGGATGTGCCTCCCTCTGGGGGCAGCGGCCTCTGCAAACAGAGTGCATTGGACGGGGAGGGGGAGGGGCTCCCAGACAAAGGGCAAGCAGGGTGGCTCATCCCAAATCTTTAAAGATTTTTAGCGGAAGGCGGTTTCCACGAAAGCCAGCTCCTCTCCGTCGGGTCGGGAACTGGCGAACTCCTCAGCAGCAGGGCCCTCGACACCCTGACCTTGGCTCCCCACGCCCCGAGGGAGGCGGACTTGTGCCCGAGAAAGTGATCGGCACAAGTGGACTGGGCGGCTGGTGGGCGCGGGCAGATGTAGCAAAAGGCAATTTTTAGGTTTTGAAGGTGAAGGAAGCGTGACATTGGCCAAGCTAAGGACCATCCACCCGTCGGTTCTCTCAACCATCGAGCATCTGCGGCGGGCGCAGCCCTGGTGACGCCCGGGAAGGAGGTGGATCTGGAAGGAAGGAAAACTCAGAGAGGCTCCCGTGGGCTGAGTGACGGGGGCCGGGCTCCCCGGACAGAGCCCCGAGGCAGGCGCCAGACACACGCTGGACGCTCGGGGACCGGCGGTGGCCTGAGCTCCAAAGCGCACAGGCCGGGGTGGCCCATCCTGCGTGCCCGTCGGGAGAGCAGTTTCTCCATGGAGCCGAAGAAGAGGAGCAGCAGGGAAGGCCCCTCTCCTCCAAGGGGTCAGGGCGCGAGGGGAGAGCTCGACCTGGCTCATCGGGACATGGGCCGGAGCCCAGGCACTCAGGGCAGGACTCGGGGCAAGGCCAGGCGGGGCCAGGGCATGGAGACCATGGGGCAGGGGGGCTGGAGAGCAGAGGGCTGGGCCGCGGGGGCCTGAGGGCGAAGAGAGAAAGGGTGGGGGTGAGGCTGGACACTCCGCTTTGGGGGGAACCTTCCCTCCAGTCCCCAGGAAGCCTAGACTCTGCAGGAGGCTGCCTGAGATGAGAGGAGAACGGAAAGCAGCGGGAGCCACCCACGTGTGACTTGTCCCAGAAGTTCAGCCCAAATCCCCCTCCCCACCACCTCGTGCTGTCCCGGCGACGACGGTTGGACTTCACGGCCGCTTCTCAGGAGCCCAGCACGTCCGTCACACAAGATGATGCACGCGGCCTCCCCACCTTGGATTCCCCCCACTTGCGCGTTCCTCCGCAGGACGGAAGCAGAGGTTGGAGAAGTTTGCGACCAGCTTAGAGGACAAGGGCCCAGACAGACTCCAGGTGCAGTGGAGCCGGGCCCGGGTGGGGTGGCTGCCCCTGGAAGGCGAGTGCGGCCACCCCGAGGCCATGGGGCAGCGGGTGAGACCCCGGCTCCAGCGCCCGGTTGTGCTCGGTGCCGAGCTGGTTAGTCACTCCCTGGGCTCAAGTCGTTAACTCTGGGAGGAAGCCACGCTAGCTGCCCCCCTCGTCCCCCGGAGCTTGCTGCCCTTGCAAAACCGATGAGTAATCAGACATTCCTGGAGCCTGGCTAAGCCCACTGCCAAGAAAGGTGTCTTGCAGCCCATGTGCTGCTGCTGGGGCAGCCACGCCACAGGCCCTGAGTCACCCTGGATCCAGCGGAGAACAAGGCCGGACTTGCCCGAGTTCAACGTGGCCCCGCAGAGGCCGGCTCCTGGGAGGAGGTCACGGGTCACCACGTCTGCCCGCCCTTCCCTGCCCCGGCCCGGGCCGCCCCGCGTGGGTGATGGGGACACGCAGGGGTCCAGGGACAGGCCGGGAAGGACGGGACCAGCCAGAGCCAGGCGTGCCCCTGACGGACGGGGGAGCTGAGGCCAAGGAGGAGGCCGCGGTGCTCGTCTCAAGTCGAGTCGCGGGACTGTCACCCCTCGGTTCCGGGTCCCCAGCAGCTCCCACTGCACCAGGTTCCTCCAGTGTAACATTGAGGCCTCGATGTTCAGGAAACGCGCGAGCGGAAAAATAACGAAACCCGCTCCGGGCCCGTCAGCGGGCAGGTGGCTTAAAAAATGAAACATAGGGGGTCCCTGGGTGGCTCAGCGGTTTGGTGCCGCCTTTGGCCCAGGTGGTGACCCCCGGGTCCTGGGATCGAGTCCCCCGTCGGGCTCCCTGCATGGAGCCTGCTTCTCCCTCTGCCTGTGTCTCTGCCTCTCTCTCTCTCTCTATCATGACTAAATAAATAAAATCTTAAAAAAAAAATGAAACGTAGTTTACACAACACGACATGCGAATTAGCCTGTCAGACCGACGCAGCTGTCCGGGCCCCGACGCGGTCTCATCGCCAAGAGAACAAGACGCAGGAACCGACCGTTTACGTGCAACCGCCTCGGAAGAAGGGAAACTCGCACACTCACCCGCCGTGTGTGCGGGGCGCACGCTCGCCTTTGCACAGACTGCGGGGAGCGGAGAAGAGCCTGCACGAGGCCCTGCTTGTGGCCTGCGTCCTTGAACGCTGGCCCCGGGTGATGTGATTAAAACCTAGAAGTCGTGGTCTGCGCAAGGCTGGAAGTCAGCCTCCCTGATGAGCTACAGCGTGTGGTGGCTTCTCTGGACACATGAGCATTTAAGCTGAATAAACGGCGGATTGATGATGGGAGGATGAGAGAATTAAAAAAAAGTAAATGTTGTCTGAGCTCCAGGGTAATAATTAACTAGATGGAATCACGTTTTGGAAAAGCCAAGGAGCATAACTCACAGAACTTTAGAGCCAGGGGGGAGTCTCGGGCTGTGACGCGCCGCCGCTCCTGAGGACCTGGGCTCCCAACCTCGGTCAACTTAAGATCTCTGAAACCTTCTAAAAAAAAAAAAATAGGGACGCCTGGTGGCTCAGCGGTTGAGTGTCTGCCTTCGGCTCAGGGAGTGATCCTGGAGACCCGGGATCGAGTCCCCCGTCGGGCTCCCTGCATGGAGCCTGCTTCTCCCTCTGCCTGGGTCTCTGCCTCTCTCTCTGGGTCTCTCAGGAATAAATAAATAAAATCTAAAAAAAAAAAAAAATCTCCGAAACCTGCTTCCTCATCTGCAAAATGGGAACAGCAATATCCCCCTGCTGGGATTTTCGTGCGGCTCCCCCGCGATGGAGGCTGATGTGCCGGTTGGGTGTGGAAGGCCTGTGCGCCCTGAGCCCGCCTCCCCCACGGGCCTGGCCCCTCGGGCTCAGAGCCTCAGCGTCTGTCGGTCTGTCCCTTGGGAGGCCCCTGCTGCCCCTGCTGCCCTTTCCCCAGAGGCCACAGAGGGACAGCCCCGGGAGGACGGGTGCTCGCAGGCAGAGACCTTGAGGGCAGCCACACCTTGAGCTGAATCAGCCTCCACCACAGATTCACCCACGATTCACCCACGATTCACCCCCGGCCTCTCCCGGGACTAAGCGGCATCGGGGGGACGGCCAAGCCCTCAAGAAAAGTCTCCTTGCAGGTGGCTACGTGCAGACCCCTGCAGCTGGGGGTGCAGGCCGGGGGAGCGGGGCGTCTCGGGGTGCAGAACCCACCCCTGGCTGAGGCCGGAGGCTGCAGAGAGGCCGGTGGGAAGGAAGCAGGCAGCTCGCAGAGTCCCCCACAGGTAAAGGGGCCATCCTGCACCTGGGTCCAGAGCCAAGGGCTCCCCCATGTTCCTGTCACGTCCCTCTACCTCCATGCAGACGGGTCTCGGAGGGGGGACGCCCCACTGAGGGTCCAAACACTTGTCTGAATGCAGGAGGAAGGCAGGGCCTGCGGAGACCCACCCTGCACGGAAGCGCGCTCGGCTAGGGCCACCGGGCCTGTCCTATTTACGGCTACTAATCATGCATAAGGGCCACCGGAGGCCCGGTCTCTGCTTGGCTGCACCCTAACCCCGAAAGCTTCCACCCACGTGTAGCTTGCATGGCCCCTGCAGCTGCACCCTCGCTCCTGCACCCCCCTCCAGTTCTCCTCTCAGCACCCCCGACCCCCAGGCACAGGCGGGGCCTGCCCTTCATGTGCACCAGGCGTCCCTGCAAGGACAGAGCTCTCCCCTTGGGGTCCCCCCTCCTTGCACGAACGTGCTCACTCGGTCATTCATTCATCAAATACCCACCAGACCAGACGCCGGTGGGCCTGCCGGACGCCCCACCGGTGTCGCTGCACGGGACTCCTCGTCGAAAATCACGCAGATCATGGGGTGTCTTCCACGGCCGGCCGGAGAGGAAGGCCGTTGGGAAAAAATCCTAAAATGCGATGATTTCTAAGCAACCGGGAGAGCAGCAGAAAGCTGGAGTTTGTATGAATGCGTGATTATTTATTAACTATATTCCTCTGTCTTTGATTTTTTTTCCCTCAGTCACCAGAATGGAATCAATAAATGGCAACATTTTCCCAACTGATGATTTTATTTATCTATTTTTTAAATTTTATTTATTTTTTTTCATCTGATGATTTTATTTTTATTTTCTTTAAATTTTTTTGATTTTTATTTATGATAGTCATCCGATGATTTTAGATGAGATTACAGAGACAGGGAGTTTTAATTTCACATGCATTAGTTTCTGGGTCTCGGGTCCTTTTTTTTTTTTTTTTTTTTCCTCAAAGCAGATAAATGAGGTTCTAAACTTAGGATAATAAGGCTTAACAGTGAGGCGCTTTTTAAAAAGTGAATCATTTCTCAGTTCTCCTTTGCTAATCTCTCTTGGTAACATTAATTATGAGTTTGTGCGGCGTGCCCCAAGGCGAGCTCGGCTTTCCCAGGACAATTAAAGTTACTTAATTATTAAAAACTGTGTGTGCTGCTGCCCAGAGAGAAAGAGGCAGCCGGGCCCGGCTCCCACCGCCCCCCACAGGAGTGACCGGACACTCTGTGGGAACTCGGCTCCTTTCCCTCGCCATTGTAATTCTTTCAATATAATCTATGAAAATCCCCTCGCCGCCCCTCCCACCCGGGCGGGCGGGAATGATTTAGAGGCGGCTCTCCCCGGGCTGAGAGCAGCCTGCCGCTCCGCCCGCCTCGGGGCTGGGCTCCAGCTACTGCCGGGGGCCGGGGGCCGGGGGGCCGGGGGGCCGGGGGGTGGGGGGTGGGGGGCTGGGGTCGGGGGATCGGCAGGCGGGGGGCTGGGGGGCCGGGGGCCGGGGCTGGGGGGCCGGGGATCAGCAGGTGGGGGGCTGGGGGACCAGGGGACGGGGGGGGGGGGCGCTGGGGGACCAGGGGACCAGGGGACCAGGGGACCAGGGGTCAGGGGTTGGGGGTCCAGGGGTCAGGGACTGGGGGCTGGGGGTGGTGTCCAGAGCGAGGCCCTTCTGGCCCACTGGCACTGGAGGATGCGGAGCCCTTGGTTCTGGGCCACCTCCTCTTGGCCCCACCCCAAGCCTTCTGCTCCCAGCAGCAGGACGTCACCCACACCCTGAAAATGGGGAGGCGGGAGGACGAGGGGTGCCACAGCCAGGCTGCGAAGGCAGCAGACAACCCCAGGGGCAGATGCTGGTCTGTAACAGCCCTGCTTCCGGGAGGTTCTTTGGTTGTGCTCCTGGTTCTGCCCTTAAGACCCCAGAGAGACCTCGGGCAAGTCACTCCTGTAATTCTGAGTCTTGGCTCCACGGTCGAGGCGTCCTGCAGGCTCTGGGGGCCTCCAGGCCCTGATTCTCTGGGGAGTCTGACATTTAACCTAGAAACGAAAACTCAGATTTTCCCATTCCACTTTCTATTCTCATTCATTCATTCGTTCCTTCATTCATTCAGCTCCCCCACCCACCCCCACCCCCGGCGGAGTCCTGGGCGCTGTTCTACCCCAGGGGTGGAGCTGAGAGGCAGCGTTCTCGAATCCCAGGCATCGTCCTGTACCACAGACGCCAGGAAGGGGGAGGCTGGTTCTGGGGCCCCCCAGACGCCACACCCGGTCCCGACCCGGCCTTCGGCCTGCTGGCTGCTGCGATCTTTGCTTTCCCCGCTTCTGAGCAGTTTGGCTCCTTCCTCCCCACCCCAGCCCCCTCCCCGGGCCCCAGATCTCCAAGGAAGCCCAGCCCGTTAGCAACACGCTGCCCACAAGAGAACGTGAGCCACGCAGATCATTTTACATTTGCCGGTGGCCACACGGTCAAAAGGTTTTCGGGAAAGTGAAATTTATTTTAATGATGTCTCTCATTTAACCGGTATGTTAAAAAAATCACCGTTTCAGCTTGTAATAAACATGCACTGATGAATCAGATATTTGATATTTTAAAAATGGAATCTTCAGGACGCCTGGGGGGCTCCGTGGTCGAGCATCTGCCCTCGGCTCAGGCTATGACCCCGGGGTCCCGGGATCGAGTCCCGCGTCGGGCTCCCTGCGTGGAGCCTGCTCCTCCCTCTGCCTGGGTCTCCGCCTCTCTCTCTGTATCATGAATAAATAAATAAAATATTTTTCAAAATAATGGAATCTTCAAAATCCGGTGAGCATTTCACATTTACAGCACATCCCAGTACATCCCAGCCTGGCTGGGCCATGCTTCAAGGGCCCCCGGCCGCCCGCAGCCTGTGGTCACTACACTGGGCGGCCTAGGAGCAAGGCCCCTCGCGTCCCTGACTCTCCATCACCCCTCGGTACTCAACGCAGTCCAGGGAGGGACCTGTGGGACCAGCACGCGGCTCGCAGGCGAGATCCGGAGCGACGTGCCCCAGCAGGCAGGGGATGGAATAACCGAGAAGGAAAAGCAGCATCACTAAGTGCAGAGGCGGAGACGGGACCGTACGTGGAACTGCGCCCCTGCGGGGAGCTGCCTGCCGCTCACCTCCGTCCAAGGGGCCGCAGGAACCGCCACCTTCCCACAGAGACCTGCGTGGACCCAGGGCAGGGCCGGAGCGGGGCGCCCACTGCACGGATGGCCCACGCTATTAAAATTTTGAAATACGTGGAATGAGGACTGTTGGGATACCGGGCACCCCCCCGGGTCCACGAGGCCTGCCCGGCGCAGCACTGTGCCCGTTCCTCCCGGCCGGGCATGGGCGGGAGCGAGCGCAGGTCTCCGATGGTTCTGCGGCTCCACAATAGGAAGAGGGAGGCTTGGCCGAGGCCCAGGGCAGGAAGACGCGATATCGAGTGACTTTGAAGGGCCCTTTTGTTTCCGGAAAGGCAGCGGTTTCCCCTCGGCATCCCTGCCCCCGCTGGAGCCCGCTGTCCCTGGGATCCCTCCACCACCTGCTACGAGAGCATCATCGCTCCCCCGGAAGAGCCTCTGCCTGAGAGGTGGGGAGGGGAGGCAGGCGCTGGCTGGGAAGGAGCGTCACCCTCTCTTCCCAAAGGATGTCATTCATTCCCAGATGTCATTTCCAGAGGCATGATGCCACCCTGCCAGCTGCCCTGGTAAATCCTGGCATCTCCAGCCTGCGTACGACACAGAGCAGTGGGGCGGAGAGAGCGGAGCGTGAGCGTGGCTGCACGTGCGCGTGCCCACCTGTGCACCTCTGGGGCCTCGCTCTGGCGTCCACTCACTCATTCATCCCTTTAGCAAATGCTGGCTGGGCATCTGCTGCCCCTGTGCTGGGCCCTAGGACCCGGGGGGGCCGGGCGAGGCCAATGAGATCTCACCCTCCGGAAGCTTACGGAAGCTTACGGCCCGGCAGCACCAACAGGCATTCAGTTAAAAGGAATTTGGGGCCGGGGGAGGGCTCCATGGTGGAGCGTCAGCCTCCGGCCCAGGGCGTGACCCCGGGGTCCCGGGATCAAGTCCCCCGTCGGGCTCCCTGCATAGAGCCTGCTTCTCCCTCCGCCTGCGTCTCTGCCTCTCTCTCTACATCCCGCGGCCCTTAGGACGGAGCCGGCAGGGCAGCCGTCCTCCCCGGGCAGCTAGAGGGCCCCAGGAAGGCCCCGGCAGCCAGTCTTGGGCACATGGAGTAGGATCATTACCGTCCTTTTCCGGAGCACTTCTCGGGGTTTAGAAATGAAAGTCACAGGCCTGGGGGCGGGATGGGGCCTGGGAGGGGAGGCCCAGCGGCATTTCTCCCCCATCGAGCCCTGAGCCCTGGGGAGCCCGTTCCTGGCCGTGCTCCCCGCGGCCCACGGAAGCTTCTCAAGGCCACGTGGCCGCACACACCACGCGCCCGGCCCCGGGGAAGGGCTCCTTCTCCTCCATGACGTGGAACCGGGGGCCCGGGATGCCCGGCCCGGCGTCCCCCCGCGTTCGGGAGCCCAGACGTGTGGGTCCTCTGGGCTTAACGAGCGGAAGCCGGCTGCCAAGTGCAAGCGAGGGAAGTGCCGCCTGGCCTCCCTGGCCCCAGGGGACCACCCCTCCGAGCGTGGGACCCACAGAGTCAACACCGGCCGGGCGGCCAGCTACTGAGTCATACGTCTGGGCTCGGAGCCTGGCGGCGTGTGTACTTTTAAAGCCTCCCAGGTGACCGGCTGTCACCTCAGCAACCAGGCGGAGGCCCAGCTGCCCTCGGGTCCCCCCAGCGCGGGTCCCCCAGGCTGTGACGGGGACAGGCCCGGAGGGAGGAGACCCGCCGGACGCGGCTGTGGGGCACACGCTGCAGGGCACACTCCGCCCGCGAGCCTGGGAGGGAAGGTGTGCGAGGACGTGCCGCGGCATCTCTCGGCCTCGGTTTACCCCGTCGCCTCCCGTACGGGCAGCGTCGTCCTACGAGTGTCCCCCGAGGGGGCGGCGGGGGCAGAAGGGAATCAGCCGAGCGGCCCAGTTCTGCTCTAGCCGCCCGGGAAAGCGAGCGCAGCTGTGGGCAAGGCCAGGTGCGGCGGTGGAGGGGGGGCAGCTGCCCAGCCCCTGCCTCCCCCTCTCTCCGTGCAGCCCCCGCCCCCCGCAAGCCCCCCCCATCTGCAGGGCCAGCGTATTTGCTTTCTCTCCAGTTACCCACACCCCTCAACGGGGTCACTCTGCCCCACGCCGGGGGCTTCTTGAGTTTCTAGGCAAACACCGGGACCCTGGGGCCCTGCAACCTTATCCCTCCCGTCATTAAACACCGAGAATCCCGGGGGAGCCCAAAGCTGTGTGAGAGCCCCCCCAGCTTCCCGGCGCCGGCTGGGCCCCCGACTTGGCCCCGGCTCCCCCAGCTCCGCAGGCGCTCAGCCCGAGGGAGCTGCCACAGATCTGCCATCAAAGCCAGGGCCCCACCGACGGCCCCACTGACCCAGGGAGTTCCCGGGTGCAGCCCCGTCCAGGCGACCCCCCAGGTCCCGTCCTGTCCCCGTCCCCCCAGGACTTCTCCTGCGCCGGCAGGGTGTCAGCTAAGCCCAGGCCGGGAACTAACAGGGTTTTATGAAGACTCAGCAGGTGTGGGAAGCCACCCACGCGGCGCGGAACCACAACTGCCGGAAAGGATCCCGCCTCTGATTCTCCAAGCCTGGCCCGCCCGCGCCTCAAGACCTGGAGGCCAGGGCCAGCTCCTCGGGGCAGCGTTCCCGGATCCCTGCAGTGGAAGCGCCCGCTCCCTCCTCTCCCCGCGCACAGCACCCACCGCATCCTGCTGCCCCGGAGCCTCAGGGACCACTCGGGTGACCCAGACCCAAGCTGCCGCCGCGGGGCAGAGCTTCACCCTCCTCATCCTCGGCTTCTTCAAGGACCACATGCCCTTCAGGACTTTCTTCTCCTGCCTACATGGGGATGTGGGGATGCCGGTCACACGTGGGCCCTGCACGCTCCCCCCTCCCGTGCACCCCCCTGTGCATCCCCCCATGCATCCTCCTATGCATCCCCCCCCACATCCCCCATCCCCCCACACCCCCCAGGCACCCTCCTCCGCATCCCCCCTCCCTGCACGCCCCCCACTCCGCCCCACCCTCTCACGGGTCCTCCGTGCAGCCGTGCTTGCTGGTGGGGGCCTCTCTGCAGATTCTCCCGGCCTCACCCGGTGACTTCTCCAGGCCCCCTCACCGCCCGCCAGGCGCACTCTGTTGGGGAGAAAAGCCCAAGGAGCGGGACCACGTGGGCTTCATCTGTCTCCTAGTCCTGGAGGCTCAGGGCCCCGGTGGCTGGGCCACCCCCCGGAGGGGCCTGGGGGTACCCGGACCTCCACCCACCGGGCCGCGGAGCTCACCCTGCGCTCTCCCATCCGGGATCTGCAGGCGCCTCAGAGCACCCTGACCAAGCTGCCCACGCCGGAATCATCGTCCTCGGCATTTTACCAAAATGCCAGAACCCGAGGCTCAGAGCAGAGAGAGACGCGCTTTCCCCACGGCGCACCTGGCGGGGGCGGATGCCCTGGCCTGGACGGGTCCAGATTCCCCGGGTTGCCGTGAGGTCACTGTGCCCTCCGCTGGTTTCCACTCGGAGGAATCGGGCCCAGGCTGCGTCCACCCCCAAATGCTCTGCTCCCCACGGCTCTGCAAAGTAAAACATGAGACTGCCCGGGGCGGGGGCGGAAATGGGGCCCCGGAAACCAGCAGAGCACCCAGAGGCGAGGCAGCTGGAGCCGGGGGAGCCCCCGCAGGCCAGGGGGTGCGACGGTGGGTGCTGGGAGCCCAGGAAGCCTGAGGGCGGGGGCTGCCTCCCCTGCGGTGCTTGTGTGGCTCCGGGACAGGTGTGGTGGCCGCAGGGGCCCCGCAGGGTGGGGCGCTCCCGGCCGCAGCTTCCTGTTCTGGCTGACGCAGGGCTGACACGGCCCCCGCTCGCCCCACGGACGTGCCTGTCACGGACCGAAACCCTCCAATGCCCCGTCCCTAGCCCCGGTGGGGGCGGGGCTGGTCACACCCAGAGTCCCAGCAAGCGCGGCCCCGGGCCCTCGGGTCCCCCCAGCCAGCAGGAGGGGCAGCTCGCTCTGTGGTGCTAGAGGGGAAACCAAGGCACGAGCCCTCCCGAGCATCACGTTGTCAAGGGGAAGAGTCTGCATCTGAACCCAGCCGGGCCCCGAGGACGCTCCACCCCACCCAGGGCCTAAGGGCCGCGGTCGTCTCGCTCAGGACCGGGCGGCCCACGCACCCACGGAGAGCTGAAGGGGACCAGTGACTGGGACGGTTCTAGCTCCTTCCTTTGCCCACAGGGAACGAGCACGAAGGCCGAGGGTAGTGGTGCAGAAAGCCATTTGCCCAGACGTCCTTGCCGGAGACAAACAGATAAACCTTTTTGCAAGTTTGGTTACACATTAACTCGGCACCCGAGGGCGCTGCCCCTACGAGCAGACAAAGTCCTTGCCCTTGGCCTGAACGGGCCTGAACGGGCCAGAGGAGCCCCGCAGCATCCGGCCACGCTCCTGGAGCCCATGCGGGCACCGCACAGCCGCACGGTGTCGCCCGCGGCCCCCTTGCCCCGGCCACCGTGACCAGCCCACCCCAGAGGCATTGCCGGCGGCTCCGGGTGGGAGCCCCCCCTTCCGCCCGGATCGGAGCCTCTGCTGGCTTTCCTCGGTCACCCGCGGGCCGGCTGAGGGCCTCCTGGACCGGAGCCTGGACGCGGTCGCGGGGAGCAGGGCGAGGACGTCCTGCACAGGCCTCAGCGAGGTGCCCACGTGCCTTGCAATGCGGCCGTGCACCCAGGCGGCGCGGGTGGAGGCCGCCGCAGGTCCCCGCTAAGGGGTTGGTCCCGAGCCGCGGGGTGCGGGGTGGCAACGGGCTCGCCCACTGCGGCGGGTGAGGAGGAAAGGGAGCAACAGGCCAACAGACCCGAAGAGGACGGCTCCCCCCCGGCGGTGGACGGCGCGGGCGGGACGCTGACCTCGGGCTGATGCCCCAGCACGGCCCTGGGCGCCCCAGTGAACCCCACGGGGCCCGGGCGCCTCTGCTCCCTGCCTGGCGCAGCGTGGGCCGTCGTGACTCCCACTGGGGTCGTCGCTGCTCGACCTCAGGACCGACGGCCGCCTCAGCCCCCTCAGGCCTCCCGCCCCCCAAGCCCCTTCTCTCCCTTCCCGGGCTGCGCCTGCACGACCCCCGCGGCCCCGCCGAGCCTCCCCTCCGCTGCCCAGCCCTGCGTGAGCGCTGCCGCCCTTGCCGCCCCGACTGCGAGCGCGGCCGTTGAAAGCACGTCCCGGTACACTCAGCTCTGCAAACCAGACGTTAGAAGACCGCAGCCCGGCCCCCAGCAGCGGGATCGGGGGGACCGCAGCCCGGCCCCCCGCAGCGGCCCAGCCCGTGATCCCCCGACCAGTGAGTGGCGCGGGCCCAAGCAGCCGCATGACCACAGAGCACGCGGCCCCCGCTGAGCTCGGGGTTGGGGCAGCGCCCCCACTCCTGAGGACCTGAGCACACTGACTCCCCCAGATCTCAGCTGCTCACCGCCTGAGGACCGCACATCCGTGCGTTCTACGTGTCGCGTAAAGTGAGTTGAAGAAGGAAACGTCATTAAGGAAGCATAACGGGGCGCTTGGGGCTCAGCGGTTCAGCGTCTGCCTCTGGCCCAGGGTGTGACCCCGGGGTCCCGGGATCGAGTCCCCCATCGGGCTCCCTGCTGCTCCCTCGGCCTGGGTCTCTGCCTCTCTCTGTCTCTCATGGATAAATACATAAAACCTTTAAAAGATTAGGGAGGAGGAAGGATAGAAAGCATTGTGCCCATTTTCCAGCTAGGGAAGCCGAGGCTGGGAGGGACTACGTGACTTCCCCAGGCCTGGTCCGGCGTCGCACCCCGTCCCCCAGTGCCTGAGTGCACGGGGCTTCCGAGGGGGAGCACGGCCCTCCCCCAGGGAGACGACGGGCCGACGGCGAGCACAGGGACCGCCGCACAAAGTCCCCTGGGGAAGAGCCAGGAGTCCAGAGGCGGCGAACACGTGCCGGCCAGATTCCACCCGGAAAAACGTGCTACATCTTTGTTTTCTTCCCGCAGCCCAATTAGACTGCAGATGGGGGTCTTCTTCCATCAACCCAATCCCTTTAAAAGAAAGGGGGGAAAAAAAACCCAGTGGCTTTAGGATTTTTCTTTTAAGCCCTGAACCTCTTCAGCGGCAAGTGCTGCCCTTCCGACCTGTTGATGTAATTGCCATAATTGAAGATTCCAGGCCCCCATGTGGGTGGACAGGGCCCCATTCATCCATCGGGTCAGCGAAGTGTAAACCTGCTGAGTCCTTCAGATGCCCCGGCCCTCGGCCCCCCTCCCAGCCCCCGCCAGCCCTGCAGGCGGGGCTCCCCGCGACGCCAGGGCGGCCAGGCCCAGGCTGCTCGCCCGCTGGCTCCGGGGACGGTGCCTAATTAAGGGGTCTGCTCCGGCCTCGGGGGGGCCGACTTAAGGCCTCCTGCCAGTAACAAGAGCCACACGCGTTGGGGGGGGCAGCGAGGGGCCAGCGCCCTGCTGCCTGGTGCCCCGTTAGCACCCGCAGGCCCACGTCGCGGTTCCGCAGGGATGGCCCGCTCGGCTCCGGGCTCCCGGGCGCTCTGGTTCCAAGAGACGAGGAGCCAAAGAGCAGGAGCCCCTCGCCCCGGACTCGGGTGTCGCGTTGCACGTCACGGCCCAGACTTCCCCGGAGTCCGCGCCGCAGCCCCAGGGGAGCACAGGGGCCGCGGGGAGGATGTCCCAGGGCTGGCCACGCGGCGCGGAGAGGACCTAGCGGGCTGGGGCCAAGCTGGGGCCCAGATGCCCTTTGACCCTAGGACAAAGGCCACCTCACACGCCACATCCCGGGCTGCAGGTGGATCCCGGGAGTCCTGTGCTGCGGCCCTCGTGCCCCTGTCTGAGCCCTCCTGCCCCCCACCCCCCTCCTCTCCCTGTGCACGCCTGAATACGCCGCCCTGCACCCCTGCCCTCCGTCCGCAGCGGGGCAACCGTGCACAGCACCCAGCACTCAACTGGTTCCCAGCAAATACTCACCAAACCTAATAAAAGTCGATGTTTGCTCCGGCTCCAAATCACAGCACACGGTTTTCATCGCAGCTTGGCTGAGAAGCCCCCCCCCCACCACCGCCCCCCGAGGTAAAGCAGAAATGCTGACAATCGCGTGGAGCAAATGTCAGAGATCCTGGCCCATTAATAAGATGGTGAATGAGCGGGAAGGGTTCAGGGTGTGTGACTCCAATTCCCGGCACAGCGGTGGATCCCAAACACCAACCACATCCTGGGTGCTGACCACAGAGCCCGGATACCCCGTACAGCCTCTCTCCCCCACCCCCTTCCACCTCCCCAGCCTCTGTGCAATCCCATAGACCCTACCCCTTGCATCACGTGACCCGATTTCCTCTGCGGGAAGCCTGCCCTGGACCTCCTCGGCCTGGCGCAGCTCGATACCATCGTGTTCCGCTGCTCTCTGGGGCGCTTCTTCCCCTTCGGTTGGGTGAGCCCCTTGCCCAGCCCAGACACTGTAGGACACAGGGTGTGGTAAAGGTGAAATCTGGAGCCAGAGGACCCAGGTGTGAGTCCCAGCTCCAGCCCCGGAACCCTCTGAGCCTAGGTTCCCGTGGGTAAAATGGGGATGATGATGATAACCACTTGCGGGCTTGGTGTGAAGATTAAGGGGTATAATGATGTTAAAATACCCTACAGGCTGCAGGGGGCTATAGGGATGGCGGCTGTTCGTATCGTTATTCCCACCTCCAACCCCGCGTGTGACCCTGTGACTCCCCCATTGAACCAGCTCAAGCCCTGCCACCTGTAGGGCCTCACTGTTAACTTGAGTTCTCACCGAAGTCCTAGCTTTTAAGGCCTCACCCACAAACGGTCTTGACGTGTCCACTGGGTCTCGCACAGGTAGCCTGGGAGCTCCAGCCTTTGGCCGTTCACTCGTATGTCAGACGACACAAAAATTTAGCTGCTTACAATCTAAAAATACACACACTTATAGTAGCGAAGCTCAAGAAACAAATGGAGGAAAAATCCGAAACGTCCCTGAGGGGAAGAAAGGGATGATCACGTTGGACGGCCAGGTTTGGGGACAAGCCTCATTTTCTCTTCCTCACCCTTCTGTGGGGGAAGGACTCGTCCACTGCAGGCCTCATGGCAGGGGGGAGGGGGCTGGAGGTGAACTTCGCTGTCTCTGTCCTCCTGGGAGGAGGGTAGCTAATGAGACTGGTGAGCACCACATGCACCGGGACGCGGTCACGGAAGTCATGAAGCCATCCCTGCCCTTGGCGCCTCAGCCTCATCTCAGCAGGACACACTCCTGTTGTCCGCCCCTCCCAGGCTTGGGTCACAGGCCACCTGCAAGAGGAATCACCTCTCATTGCCCACCACCACCACCACCTCCACCACCTCCACCACCTCCACCACCTCCACCACCTCCACCACTTCCACCTCCACCACCACCACCACCATCACCATCACCATCACCATCACCACCATCACCTCCACCACCTCCACCACCTCCACCACCACCACCACCACCACCTCCACCACCTCCACCACTTCCACCTCCACCACCACCACCACCATCACCACCACCACCACCTCTACCACCTCCACCACCTCCACCACCTCCACCTCCACCACCACCACCACCACCACCACCACCATCACCATCACCATCACCATCACCACCATCACCTCCACCACCTCCACCACCTCCACCACCACCACCACCACCACCACCAAGATCACCATCACCATCACCACCCTCACCACCATCACCACCACCACCCCACCATCACCATCACCACCACCACCACACCACCATCACCTCCACCACCCCACCACCACCACCACCACCACCATCACCACACCACCCACCACACCCCACCACCTCCACCACCACCACCACCACCCCACCACACCATCACCACCCACCCACCACCACACCACCACCTCCACCACCCCACCACCACCACCACACCACCACACCCCACCACCACCACCCCCCACCACCCCACCACCACCACCCACCACCCCACCACCACCACCACCACCCACCACCACCCCACCACACCACCACCACCACCACCACCACCCCACCACCCCCACCACACCACCACCCACCACCACCCCACCACCCCACCACCATCACCACCACCACCCCACCACACCACCACCACCCCCACCACCACCACACCACCC